CCCCCCCAGTGATCTGGCGACTACTTAAGGTGGAGAATTCTTCGCCGGTTCTCACAAGACCTCCGAGCTTCTTCCTGGCCAGTAACGACCCGAGGGTTAGGAGACCTCTGTCTCCAAGCTATTCAGCAACGCCGCCGCTCCTGTCTCCGCTACCTAGATCTCCGAGCGACTTTTCTACGAAGGCAACGCAGACCCTGCCTGTTCGTAGAGTTCACCGAGGAACGCTGAGCCGACCTACGGTAGTTCACCGAGAAACGCAGAGCGACTTCACATCACAGAAGGAAACATTCACACCACCAGGATCACCAACAAGCTACACACCACCAGACTCACCTCCTGGATCCTACTCTCTTGACTTAACACGAAGAAGGCTTTGGGGACCTAAGAGATTTACTCAGACCAAACCAACAATCTTTTACAGAGAAAGTTAATATAGTTTTTGTCACAAACGGCCCTTTTCAGGGCCACATAAATTGTAAACATAAAAACGGTCCTTTTCAGGACCAATTATTTTATAGAAAGTTTAATAAATTTTTATCAAACGAACACGCTACCATAAACCCTTCAATCCTGTTGATTACTGTTTTAAGAAATGTGCGGCAATCTGTAATTTGTGTAGTACTTCAACGGTAATTAGATGTGCATGGTCCAAAAAATCTTTATGCATGAACCATTTCTTTACAGATTATCACATTTGCAAAAATTTTCAAGAATAAACTTAACATGTGAAAGGTGAGAGGCAAGGGGACTCACTGTAAAAAAGAACCCCGAAAGGTGACAAGCAAGGGGACTCACTGTAAAAAAGCATCACGAAAGGTGAGAGGCAAGGGGACTCACTGTAAAAAAGCACCCCGAAAGGTGAGAGACAAGGGGACTCACTGTAAAAAAGCACCCCGAAAGGTGAGGACCTTGTATCAATACATTTTTTGCAAAAATTATAAATTTTAACGTATATAGCTGCCATATTGAGACCGCCATTTTTTATTTTATATCTTTAATCTCTAACACCATATTTAAAATCATCGATCCAAAGTCGGAAATTTTAATTGATGACAAGAATTCTTAAAATTTACTCATTTTGATAAAAATTTTAATGTATCGGGACGCCATATTGGGTCAGCCATTTTGGATATCATACTTTTGACATAAGATTTAGTTTCAGCGACACAAAATCCCCTTAACTCATTTTACCTTTTAAAATTTTCAACTTATTGCACCTAATATGTTAAATCTATCCCTTACCTTTAAGGGGTAGTTTCCATCCTTTAGAGTGGACTATTGCAGATAAAAAAAATGCGTGTCAAATATTTTTCAAAGTTCTACAAATATGCAAAGTTTTATTGAAATCGATGAATGACACCTCCGTAGGTTTACTTGTTAGTCAAACAACTATCTAATAGTTACTCATCCAAAAAAGTTTGTAATTTGAGACTTTCTTTCTGCACTTTGTCATTATTAACGTATAACTGCTTATAACATTACAACGATTACTGTATTACTCTCAATATCGATGAAGATGGCTGAATGTAGCCGAAACGTCCGATTCAGATGCTAAGACTATGTAAGGCTGACATATATATTTTTTGTTAAAATAAAACGCATGAGTTACCGCGAATTTGCACTCTCAATTGTCCGTTTCTTAATTACGTGTTTTAAAAATATCATTGATATTGATATAATTGTAGGCTATCTGGTAGAAAAAAACAGTGCTCTATAATCGCACAAAATTTGAAAGCGATATGTTCAATAGTTTTTGCTCTATCACTTCTGTTAGATCGAAAAATGTTGTCGCGAAAAACGTGTTTAAAGTTTCAAGTTCATTTTTTTTATTATTTACGCCTATATTTACCACGTTAAAGGGTTCAACACAATATTCTACACCTGAGACTATCAAATTATGCAAAAAAATTTTTCAATTTTTTGATCCCAGCAAGGTAGAATGGACCCTTAATTTACAGCTTTTCTGGAATAGATCCCATATTTGGTAAAAGTTCCGATTAGGGGACCCCACCCCATGACCTTGACCTTGACATATATTGTCAAGGTCATGACCCTGAGTAACCTCCAACAAGTTTTAGCCGTCGCTCGTCCCTCGTTAAAAAGTTATTAATAAAAGAAGTTCGAAAAATAACGTATTATTTTTGCTATACATATATGCAATATTAAATACTATTCTACATAGTTTGTGACTTTCAAGGGCGCACGACTCTCACCTCCGACTCTCACCCCCCCCC